CATTTGCGGGTGGCGTTTACCTTTCCAACTTTGGTGATGCTGTTATCCTCGCCCCACACAGGCGGGATTTTGCGACTGTCTTCGGGGTAGATGACAAGGTTAAGATCTCTTTCCTATTTACTATCACGGATTCCTCGCAGGCTCCTGAAGGACGTCCCATCCCTGCGTATGACCGCCCATCCAGGGAGGGATCTAAAAAGCCACTACCACAGTCTGCTGCTCCAGGTTGCAATGCCTCTGCACCTGCCTCAGCAGCAGAGGCTGCAGCTGCGCGAGCTGACAGTATTTCCCGTAGTATCGGCACAGCGCTTGCTGCCCTCAAAGAGGGCAATAAGCAAGAGGCTTCAAATGGCCACACTGAAAAACAGGGGGCGCAAAGTTTCGCAGCCCATGCCAAGGGAGACGGAACCTCACCGCCACATGCACAGATGCCCCTCAACTTTTTCTATAGTCGGCCAGCCGAACTTACTCCGCCTCGTCCTGTTACTGAGCCTCTTAAGACTGATCTTGGTAGCAATCAGGACGCCTGTAGGGGCAGCGCTGGTCCCCACACCGGTGCGAATGAAAGGGCTGATGTGGCAAACAGCAACGAGCGGTGGAATACTTCCGCTGCCCCAGTTATCTCCAATCACGTCGACCCGCCAAAGCAGGTACGTAAGCCGAGTGCCAAGCAAACCGCTTCCAAGGTAAGTGGAGCTCCTCGCATTATCTCTCCGCCACCCCCACAACCGTTGGCAGTTAGAGTCACTGAAGCTGCCCTTCGACACCAGGTTGCGGCTAGACTTGATTCTATTGTGTGCCACCTTACGTGTGCCTTCCGTGTTATGGCATTCAATAAGCTATCCAAGGAGGAATTAACTAAAACACCCAGCAGCATCCAAAACGCCTTTATTGCAACCGGTGCTGGGCTCGTGACTCGGGATTGGAGTAAGGAGCTTCGTGAGGGCTTTGTGGATGCCCTGTTTTCTTACCGCCCGAGTGATCCTACGAGGCTGTATTCAGTTAACGACACGATCGAAAACGCGTTGCCTTTTCTTCAGGGCGTGTCGCAGACTAATTTGGCGTTGAGAATCAAAGCTGAGTGCGCATGTGTTAATCGCATGAGCACGACTGCTGCACTCCGGGTTGCTAAACATGCTTGCTACGCTGCCCTGCTAACGGACTTAGAGGCCCATGACGACATTCTCACCAACTTCGATGCTGCTGTTAAGTCGTCAGTCAACCGGATTGTAATGACGGGAGTATGTCAAAGTGCTTGTGACCGTTGTCACATGCAACTTAAACCGGACGGCTTACACTACCCACGGTCCTTTGCCTTTGTTCTGGAGTCCCACACTTCTGCTTACAAAGACGCAGCCTATGGCTTGCTAGGGCGCGAACTTGTTCTTGACGACCTCAGTAAAATTAAGTTCAGAGTCCAAGCCCTAGTTATTCATTCCCTGCGTCATAAGCACTATTGTACTCTTGAGTTTGCTGACTGTGGGCTCGCCTACTCTTATGACAATCTGCAAGACCTTCGGCTTATTTATCGTGACGAGCTACCCGCTGAGTGCGCTCTCTACGCCAAGGATGCTATCTCATGCGCACAATGGCAGGAGGAAGTTGGAGCCCAGTCCTCGGTAACGACTGTTGTAGTGCAAGCTGCCACGGCTTCCAGTCGTCGGGTACAACAAACGTACATCAATGCGGCTACTTACCTTGGCCTACCTAAAGCCTCCTCCTCCCTTGCGGTATCAGCCTCCGGTATTGGCTCTCTTGTCGATCGTTTTGTTGCTCCCTCTGCTACTACAACAGAACCTTTCAGCGTTAGACACACTGTTCCTGACCCTGAAGACCCTGATACACCGATGCCCTTGGCAGAGGAGTCGAACATGCAAGACATTATTGATGTTCAGGATTCGGACGACGACACCTCCAAGCCTGAAGAACTGTCTCGCAAAAGAAACCCTTCGACAGGCACTGCTCCAGCCAATGCTAAGGTCCCTAAGCCTGAAACTCTTGCTGTTGCTGCAACAGAAAGAGGTGTCCGACAGTTGCGAAATACTATCGCTTCTGACTATCGACGTGCAGCCGGTTTCGTCGGACTGACTCGTTCTGCCAAGGAGTTGTCCGGACATGGGCCCCTGAGTCCCGCATCTTATGCAGTCATCTCGCTGTTTGACGGAGCTTGTACGGCAGTCGATATTATTCGTTCTTGCCATAAGCAGCATCCCAGCGCGTTGATAGCTGTAGAACAAGACGTTCAAATACGGACCTTAGTGTCTACTTTGCGCCACTTTGACATTCACGGAGAGTGGCAGGAGTGTGGAGGCGGATACCCTGTTGCTTACTTGAAAGATGTAGCTGACATCCTTGATAGTTCTTGTAAGAAAATCAAGGAAATGCTTCATTTGTGTGAAGCAACGCTTGGGTGCATCTATGTCGTTGCGGGCTCTCCGTGCCCTGACCTATCCTTCGCTGGTTATAGTAAAGGGCATTTGGGACTCACGGGACCCCGTAGCTCAGCGTTTTACTACATCTGGGCAACAATCCGCGCACTACAACTCCTCCTTCCCCCGGCAGTCGCCATTCAGCCAGTCGTCGAGAATGCAGGTTCTATGAAGCCCCTCTTCCAGCAGCATATCACACTGTGTCTTGGCCTCCCAGCCAGTGCACTTTCAATTGCCGATGCCGCTGATTTTGGCAAAATTGCCTCACGCAAGCGTGCATTCTTCTCCCGATCCAGTCAACCTGTTACGGGGGTGCAGCGACATCGCATTTACCCACTTGACGCCGGATGGTCTCCTGCTCTTGTAACTGACGACCATGGCCAAGTTTCTCGAGCCATTCTCCCTCCCTTTATGCGGCCTAGGGGAGAGCTGCAGGATGGGGCTCCGCGATTGACAACCGCACTGTACCATCCCCGCTTCCTTTTGTATCAACTTTCCTACTTCGGTGGTTGTGCTAATTTTGAGGCTGCCTGCTGCAATCCTGTGGCATATAAGCAACGCTTCCCAGTTCTCCCTTGGGAGACCTTTTTTCCGGCACATCTTCTGGCAAGTTGGACAACCTTTGTCACGGCCGGCAACTCTTGCAATGGCTTCATTGACAAAAGCTTAGAGGACGCCCTGGAGCCACTCTTTGAGTTTCTCCAAACTGCGTCACTTCCGTTCCGTCCTATCAAGCTTCAAGAGATACTTGCCGACCTAGAGCTTCTAGAAGCAATTAGAGTTGTTCCGCGCTCGACTCCGCCCAGCCTCATTGCTTCCCTCGCAGGAAATGCCTTTATACCCAGCATTGTGCGTCGGTTTGTTGTCACCGACCTCACCTGTTTCCTGCCGATCACAGCAGTACCGTCACCAGATGAGCTTCGTGCTCACTATGAGGCACTGAAGAAGGCAGTGCATGAGCTTATAGACGCCTCTGTCCGTCAAAAGCAGGTCACCCGTGAACAGGCACAGGAGTGGAAGCGCGATATTAAACCCCAGCCATTAGGGGATGATATCTTAGCGCCAACCTTTTGGCACGGCGTTGAGAATCTTAAGGTCCGTAAACCAGCTGTCGGCCATAAGCCGTTCGCCAGTGTCGATTGGGCGCCACTCTCCTATACCGGCTTAGGGGGAAGCGGCTCAGACTTCATTCATGAGCCACCCGAAGCCATACCTGAACTCTTGACACAGCTGCCGGCAGCCTATGATGTTAGGCTCCGGAATCTTTTCCAGTCCTTAGGGGTTCCTTTTGGCACTGCTGCCTATGTTACCACATCACAGATCCTCTCCCAATTCTTTAGATGCAGTACCCTTCGGAAAATATCCGTTGTGGGCTTCTGTGGCACGAGGATCCGCAAGGTAGAAGACCTTTATGTTAGGTACATATGTTTCATTCTTAACAGTATTCCGAGCGCCCTTGATGGCCGCCTTATAGTCTTCCTTCATCTTGTTGATGATAAGCTTGCTACCTGGGCATTCAAGCCTGAAGCTACCCCTGTGCACACAATTTGCTTCGTTGCCATCCCGCCTGCTTTAACTGGCGCCATTTGGTTTCAGGCTGAGGTTGACAAGGGGGCCATCACAGATAAAGCGTTGCCCCTCCTCAGTTCTCCTGCCTTTCCCCATCTCAAGCTACCTACTGGTGACTTTGAGGTCCTGGCAGCATACCTACAAGCAGATCATGCAGCTGTCCTTCTTTTTAATTGTGATACTCTAGAGGTTGCATGCGCTTTGAGCAATTCTGGTGGACCACTTTCTGTTCTTGGTCACTTCTCCTCAGTTCAGGCGATACTTCTCGCATTGCTTCCCATATTAGGCAACGCGTTCATCCCTGAGGATTTGTGGTCTCGGGAAATCGACTTTTCCCACATCGAGCATGGGGTCCTCAGTATAGTTTCGACTCTGCTAAACGGCTGTACTGGTCAGCCTCCCGGTGTTTGTGCGTATGAAGTTGAATGGCCCACTCACCAACCTGCAGTTTTGACTCCTATTGTCTGGCTCCCAGACAGCCTTGATGCCAAGCACACACCGCATTGATTAAGCTTGCTCCTGCAGCTGAGAATGAAGCAGCGATAATGGTCGTTCCTGGCTACGTGCCACAGTAACAATCTTTTTGACTAGACCTAGACCCCCGTTTTACCTTTGAAACCTGTATCTGCTAAGAGCAGATTGGACAATCACGAGCGATCGTACCGAAGGCTCAAGGTTGCACAAAAGAGTGAGACCGCAAGTTTTGGTTTGGGTTTTTATGGTAGCGGAGCCTACCGATCCATTCCTTTGAGTCTGGACGAAAGGCCTTCGCTGCGGACGGGACCCAGATCCGCTGGTTGGTTGGTTAGTGGTGGTGCGGTCGGAGCTCAGGCCTGACTGAAAGCGGACAGGACCCAGATCCGCAGTGAACTTTAGAGCCGTAGCCCTTGTGGTAGATCCGAGCCTGCCTTGAGCAGCATAGTTCCGCCTCCGCGCTGTGCCGCCAGCGCTTGGGCAGCTGTCGTGCGCTGTGGGCTTTCTTGAGCCTTGGGCGGCTGCGGGATGGCTTCGCCTACAGCGGGAGCAAGTGAAGCTCCTCAGGGGGGACAAAGCCCTGGTGGAGCGAGCGAGCAGCCTGTTCTGACAGGCGAAGTGGTGCTGAACCAGTTGGCAGCTGCCGTGGCGCAGCTGGCCCAGGCGACTACCTCGAGCGGCCAAAGCTCGAGCCAGTGGAAGGAGACGAAGTATGTGAAGGCCCCGGACCTCTTCAATCCGAAGTCTTTGGAGGACGAGGCTGCTCAGTGGGGCGATTGGTCGTTCCACTTCCGTAACTTCATGACGATTCAGGACTCAGGCTACCGTGCCGACTTTGAGAAGTGCGAGTCTGCCAGCAGCTTTGTCAACTTTGCTGACTATGATGCTGCGGTGAAAGAGAGAGCTCTTCGGCTCTACTCTGTGTTGGCGAGCTACCTCCGGGGTCGCCCGCTAAAGTTGCTTCGTTCCAACAAGAATGGGGACGGCTATGCAGTCTGGAGGCAGCTTTGTGATGAACGACAACCACGCTCGCGCCCTCGTGCCTTGGCTTTGGCGCAAGCGCTGTCGCGCTTCCCGCCGCACAAGGAGGGCACCTCTCTCTTGGAGTACATCTTGGGCTACGAACGGCTCATTGCGGAGTACGAGGCTGTGGCGACGCAGAAGTACCAGGAGGACCTCAAGATCTCGACGCTCCTTGCTGGCTTGCCTCAGGAGGTCAAGCGCTACATGTACCTTCAGGTCAACGACTCCACGACCTACTTGGGCCTGAGGGAGAAGCTGTTACAGTACGAGAGGACGTCTTCTACATGGACGGCAGAGAGCATGCTGAAGTCCCTCGGTGGCGGCTTCAACACTGATGCGATGGATGTGGACCGTGTTGCTGATGCCAAGGGCAAGGGCAAGAAAGGCGATAAAGGACCTAAGGGCAAACCCGGCAAAGGCGAGTACGGCAAGAAGGGCGAGTACGGCAAGAAGGGCAATGAGAAAGGCTGGCACCGTGATGGTGGCAAAGGCTATGGCAAGGGCTCACCGAAAGGTGGGAAAGGCAAGAAAGGAGATCCTGGGAAAAAGGGCTCTCCTAAGGGCTCTTTGTCTTTGGTGGAGTGCTGGAAGTGTGGCAAGCGAGGACACTACGCAGCAGAGTGCCGATCGAGAGTCAACCAGGTGAACCAGGATGATGATGCAGCTTCGGTGCAGACGAGGGCAACTACCTCTTCTGCTACGACAGCAAGCACAGCCGCTCCTGCGGCAAAGGCGCAAGTTCGTCGAGTGCATGTGGTTGACCTCGAGCAGCTTGATGAGGACCAGTTGCTCGGTGTCGAGTTTTTGGGCTCTGTGCGTATGGTGCGAGAAGTTGACAGTGATGCCGAAGACGAGCTTTCTTGCAGCAGTGTCCAGTGCTTCACCATAGGCAGCGACAATGAGAGTGAGTTTTCTTTTGAGCTTTGCAGTTCCCTTGACCTGACGGCAGATGATAGTGGTGAGCTTGAGGCTGAGAGTGCTTTCCATGTTCGTGCTGTTGCTGCGGACCCCAATTTGCATGAAGTGATTTTGGACAGTGGAGCCGATTGCACAGTCTTGCCCCTCAGCTCGTTTGCAGACGTCGGCCAGCACAGTCATGAGAGCTCGTTCCTGCTAGATGCGCAGGGCAACAGGATTCCGCAAGGTCAGGTCCGAACGTCTGTGGTTTTCGAGGTTGAGGGTATCGATGGTGAGATCATTCAATTTCGTGACAAGGCAGTGCTAGCGCAAGTTCGGCAGCCGTTGTTTTGCTTCGGGAAGTTGCTTCGTGATCAGTGGTTGCCCGAGCTGAATCCTCAACAGGGCTGGTGCCTCAGAAAGGGCGAACGGTCCTTCGGAGTGCACTGGAGCAAGAACTCTCTTGCCACTTACATGAGGATCCTGAGGGTCGAAGGAGAGTGCGCCAAGTCGGCTCACGAGCCGGCGTCTCCACAGGCACCCCCGGCCATGGCAGTGAGGTTGGTGGTCGAGATCTCTGATGATTTGGAGATTCATGCGCAGGCCCTAGGCTGGAGCTTGAATTCTAGCATGCAGCCAGTGCACATGGGAACAAACATGGAAACCACCTTTGATGGCTCTGGTCGCTTTAGTTGCTCAGATTGGCCGTTTAGGACCACACTTCTTTGCCGTGGTGATCGCAAATATGAAGTCTTTGAGTGCTGTGAAGTTTGGGAAGATCGGCTTGAGTTTGGTTTCGGTGCCCGTGAAAGCAAGGTGTTGACTATCCTCACAAAGGAAGCTATAGAGCCCAATGACCTCGGTAAAGTACTTCAGCAAGATCCTGCTCCACGTGGCGAACGCTCCTTTGATGAACCTCCCAATGAACCCTTGCAAGCCCCAGGTCTTGAGCCCGATGAGCCAGCAGACGGAGCAGCTGTCGAGCCTGAAGGAGATGACCGCAGAGGAGAGGTTGCAATGCTAGGGCCTTCTCCGGTTGAAGTTCTTGGGGATGATGAAGAAGCTTTGGTGGTGAATGGTACGCGTCTAACTGAGATTAGTCCACTTCGTGAGCTTCGGCTTGCTTGTCGGTTCCTTGGCATCTCGAAGAACGGCTCAAAGTCAGCAGTGTGGCAGCGCTTGAAGAAGGAGGTAGCACACAGCAAGTTGCAGTTGGAGGTTGCAGCATCGGAAGCCGTGAGGGCAGAGTTTTCCAGAGATCCCGTAGTTCAGGCACTCCCAGTTCCTCCAAGTCCCGAGCTAGTTGCACTACATGAAGTTACACATCTTCCTCGTGCTGATTGGTGTGAAGCTTGCATAGCAGCCCGGAGTCGTGAAGATAACTTTGAAGCAGCAGGCCCCAAACGTGAGTTCCCGGTGATCTCTCTGGATTTTATGTTTGTGAAGACTGATGGGGAAGATGCACCTCTTGCCACTCACCTGGTGTGCGTGGACTCTCAATCCAAGTACGTGGTAGCAGTTGCACTTGCTTCCAAAGGAGGCAAAACCTTGAAACATGCTGTGGAAGAGGTGGTCGGCATGCTGACGGTTCTCGGCTATGCCAAAGTGATCCTAAGGTACGACACAGAACCGTCCATGAAACAACTTGTGAACTCCATTGTTGCTGTGCGCGCAAAGAACAACTTGGCAACAGAGCTCGAACCCGTCGGGCCGGACTCCTCTGTGCATGGGTCACTTCGCTCTGAACGTTATCATCAGACTGTTCGTAACCTTGGCAATTGTCTCCTGAAAACAATAGAGCAACGGACAGGACACAAGGCCGAGACTTGGAGCCCGCTGCATTCATGGGCGTTTGTGCACGCAGCCTTCCTGGTGACAAGGTTCCATGTTCACCGGGATGGGTGTACATCTCATGAATTAGTACATGGACGGAAGTACGACCAGAAACTTTGCCCTTTTGGCTCTGCTGTTTATGCACAATACCTTCCGAAGAACAAAAACAAGGGAGAAGTTTGGCGACAAGGTGTTTGGCTGGGCAGAGCAAGAATTGGGAATCTACATGTGATCGGTGACAGTGCTGGCATTCACTTTGCCAGAACCATTCGGAGGCCTCCCAAGGCCTACGACTTGGAGCTTCTGAAGACCATGCGGGGGACTCCTTACGACTTCCTGTTGGACGTGGTGCCCGTGCGCAAGAAGAAGGTGGACAAGGACCGATTGCCGATCCTAGTGGAAGCTGCTCCTGGCCCTTTGCCTGCCGAGGAAGCTGCAAACGACGGTCCAGGAGATGAGGCTGCAAGTGACCCTACCTCCTCTGAGGCCGGAGGTGTTGGATCGATGAGTGTGAGCTTGCCTGGGCAATCTTCTGGGACGGGCTCTTCCTCTTCTACGGAGCTCATCCCTGATGCTATGGACGTTGAAGGCGGCGTCAACCAGGCCGCTGAGGATGAAGACGGCGTCGCTGTTTCGGCTGAGGGGGGACTCCCTACAGGCCACTTCGAGGAGGAAGGCTTCCACGGCGTTCCGGAAGATTGGAGCGACATCTTCGAGGAGACTTGGGAGATCGAGGGTGTCTTGCAGGAGGCGGAAAGACGAAAGTACGAAGAAGGGCCTCCTGTGCTTGATGCCGACGCTCTTGCGGCATTGGATGCTGAGATGGATGAGGTTGAAATCCAGAGGCTCTTGGGAATGAAAGTTCTTGAAGAGATTGGCCCCGACGAGGACGTGAGTGACATGTACCGTTTAGGCTGCAAGAACGTTCGAGATTGGAGGTTTCGCAACGGCTGGGTGCGACGATCACGCTTGGTTGCCAAAGAGTTTCGCTTTCTGCAACCGTACATGGAGAACTTGTATAGCCCTGCTTCGCTGAGTTCTACACAAAAGTTGCTTGCAGGACTTTGTTGTTGTAATCCTCAGCTTCGTTTGTACAGCGGTGACATCAAGGATGCATACCTCACTGTGAAGCAGAGACGGAAAACCTACATTGTCAGCAACAGTGGTCGTATGTACAGGCTGCACTACAATCTGCCCGGACAAAGGGCAGGTGCTCGAGACTGGCATGAGAAGCTTAAGGCAGTACTTGAAAGTGATGGTCTTCGTGCTTTTGAAGGTGCCCCAGCCCTCTTCTATGAGCCCCAGAGTTTGATCGTTTCCACACATGTCGATGATTTGCAAATGCTAGGACTTGATGCACGAGTGCAGCGCCTGATCAAGAAGATCGATGAGGCAGATCTCCAGTTCGGTGTTGAGGGGCCGTGCACGCCTTGGTCGGGTGAGTGTCGCTTCTTGAAGTGGAAGTTCATGGGGGTCAACGGGAGCATTGTCATAGAGCAAGATGGGAAACACGTCGAGAAGCTGATCAACCTGGTCGGTGTCGAGAGAGAGTCTGGCAAGCAGACCCCATGCCCCATGAACCCCAACGATGTGAAGTCCACGAAACCTTTATCTTCCGAAAAGTACCCAGCTTACCGCACGGCCATAGGTATTCTCCTCTATCTCGGCCCCGATAGACCCGAATGCCTCTACACGATCAAGCTGCTCTCCGCGAAGACTTCCAACCCTACAGAACATGAGTGGCATCTTTTGCGACACCTCGTGAGATACCTGAAGCTGCATCCCAAGCGTGGCATTTCTTTGAGTGCATGCAATCCTGGCAGGACCGTTGAGCAGCGTTGGCTTGGGAACCCTGGTCCTGAGCGAGGCCCGGAAGCTGATGCTTCCAAACCTTTCGGGAACGGACACCTCATAGAATCAATCTCTGACGCCTCGTGGGGTGGAGAAGCCGACAGGCGGAGCATCAGCGCTGCAGTTATATTTTTAAGCGGGAATGCGGTGCACGTGGGCAACAAGAGGCAGAAGAGTATATCGCTTTCTTCCTGCGAGAGTGAGGTCCACGGGAGCTTATACTCCATTCAGGAAGGGCTTTTCTTGAAAAGGCTCTTAGAGACTGTGTGTGAGAACAGCGTGCACCTCGTTCATCGAGTAGACTCTTCTTCGTGCAGGGCATTCATTGATCGTGTTGGTCTGGGACGTTTGAAGCACATCGACATAGCATACTTGTGGGTGCAAGATCTCAGAGCTCGCAACATGTTCACTTTGAAGCCTATCTCTACGAAGTTTTGCCCGCCGGACCTGGCCACAAAGCCGATGAGTGGGGTGAGATCCAGAATGCTAGAGTACACCATAGGAGTGTGTCAGTCTGATGGCACCCTCGTCGGATCGGAAGAGTTCGAAGACGAATGGAACAGAGAGCAGCTGCGGCGAATCCGCAGTACCAAAGAGGGTGTGAGTTCAACTGCTAAGGCCTATGTTGCAAGGAGGGTCCTGGCGCTCTTGCTTGCGAGTGAAGGTCTGAGCTTTGCAGATGGAGCCCCTTTTCTGTCTCGAGATCCGAACACCCCGTTCATGATGACCCGGTGGAGCTTTGGCTTCATGATGGTGATTCCTGTGCTGCTGGCGGTGCTCTTTGTCAAGACCGAGGCCTACTTCAAGAACTACTTCAAGTCGAGCGGTGACCACAATGGTGAGGAAGTGAACGTCGAGAACCTCAAGGTGACGAGGCGCTTGGAGGAGACCGTCGAGTATCACAACAACGTCGAGGAGAACAATTTCTTAGAGAATGCCTTCTACATCATGGCCTTCTTTGCTTGCGTGATTGGCTGGCTTGCTTTTCAATTGGGCGTCCGCTTTGGGCGCGAAGGAGAACAAGGCCAACTTGGAGACCAACGTGCTTCAACGTGGCGATCCAGATGTACCTCATGGCAGTGACCATCCTCTTCTTCTACGTGGCGATCGACCGGAACCTCTTCGTGAAGATCCTCTTGAAGTTCAACAAGGTGCTCAGCGTGTTCCAGGCGAAGGAGCTCAAGGTGACGATTCTCCGGATGAAGGGGAAGCTTGGAATCAGTTTGCAGACTTTGTGGAGACACCCCGGGTTGTCAGGTGCCACCGCCTCTACAAAGCCAATGGCATCGACTACTCGGAGGACCTTCTTCGTCACTGGGAACAACACCGTGAAGTCCCAGTCGAGTTCCTTGGAGAGTTCGAGGGACGTGGTGCGGCAGCTGCTGCTGCTACTGGCGAGGAACTGGGTGGCGAAGTGACGGCTGCTGCTGCAGAAGTCCGTGGAGACCAAGGTGAGCAAGTGTGGCTGGTCGGTCGTGGCTCTGCCTTCCACAAGGAAAGCTGTGGCATGGTCAAGAAGGCACAACCTCAAGGAAAGGCGCGACCGTTGGAGCGAGTGACTGCCGTAGCACAGGGTTACAAGCGTTGTGGACAGTGCAAACCGTGAGTACAGTGCTTTTGCAGACTTTCGAGCTGAGTTTGAAGTTTCTTTAGAAACCTGAGCGGCTAGCCTAAGAGGTTAGCGTTGAGAGTAGTGCTAAAGGCACTGCTGTCGAAAGCTTGTGGTTTTCAGAGGTCTGAAACAGGCCACTGAAAAAGGGGGGTAACAATCTTTTTGACTAGACCTAGACCCCCGTTTTACGATTGAAACCTGTATCTGCTAAGAGCAGATTGGACAATCACGAGCGATCGTACCGAAGGCTCAAGGTTGCACAAAAGAGTGAGACCGCAAGTTTTGGTTTGGGTTTTTACACAGCCAACCGCGTGTATTGCTCTCAAAGGAGGATGACGATCGCAACATCATCCCTTATACACCCTCTTGTGAGGGCTTCTCTCCTTCGTTGCTTCCAATTCTTAGCTATACAGCAAGCCCATACCAAGCGGTGTCGTGTACGTTCATTAAACTTGATTTGGCATCTCCAAGGCGCCCCAGTAACTTTTCCAACGCTTGCGGCCCTTAGGGCAGCCCTACATTTCACTAATGCCCCTCCCACTGTGTCCCAGGCGTCTGTCACTCAGTGCTTGGATACTCTTCTGGACAGTTGGAAAACCGGCTTTCGGCCTCGCCCAAGTGACCTTCAGGAACCTGGCCCCCTGCTTACCCTTGTTCTAGGTTACCCGCCACAAATAGGGGACCGGGTTTCCTTTCGGGAAGCACTCGGGGGGGCAATACTTGCCTTAGCCCAGCAAATCGTTTCGACTAAGCTATCGCCGGACCCCACTAAAGGTATTGGATTGTCTATGCAAATATCTACCTGGAATGTCTCCAGTTACAAGGTCTGGACGAGCACCTCGGCGGTGTGTAAGACTGCGACGATCCTTAGCCTTTTACGGAAGGGTCCTGTGTGTCTGCAGGAAACTAACTGGGATGCAAGTGGCCCTGTCGCTGCTGCACATACTTTCCCGCGTGCGGCTATTGCATCTTCGCCGGCCATCTCGACCTCAGTCAGTTCGGGTGTGGCTATTTTAGTCCCAGCTCCATTCACCCTCACATCGCAGACCGAAATCCTACCTGGTCTGGTCCTTTCGGCAACAGTTCAACATTTCGCCCATCGCTGTGAAATTGTTTGTGTCTATGCCCACCCAGATAAGCTTGCTGAAGTTGGCCGTGCGTTGATCTCGCACTTGACGACCAGACCCCACCGGGATGAACTCTTTGTGGTAGGAGATTTCAACCGCATGGCTGAAAAGCAACCAGGGTTATGGGAGCTGCTCTGTGCGCGGAGGGTCTCTTGCGCCGAGTCTCCGGGGGCATTCCAACTTACCGTTCTGGCAATGTGTCATCTTGCCTTGACGTAGTTCTGCATAACGAGGAAGCAGAAGGCTGCCGCCGCCTTAGGAGCCGGGTCTTTTGGCCACACGCACTCCCACAAGGCCACGGAGTGGTGACTTTGCGTGTAAGCAAGGCGCGTATGCTTTCCAATGATGTTGGAGCCACCACCTATCGAGCCATACCCACACGCGCCTTTAAACAACAGGCGTATGCTCCCTCCACCCCCCGGCACACTCGTCTCATCCAGCTAAAGTGCGCCTGGAAAGGCTTAAAGTCCTTCTTCCAACCTCACCACATTGCAAGACCTACAAGGTCTTTTTCATGTGTGGTGGGCCGGTGAACTGGAGCATACCGCTAGCGCGGTTTCAGAAGGGAAATATGGTGCCCTTCCGTATCTGTTAAGGCGACAACGCAGGCGTCCGCATGCATCTTCCTACACTGTCCCATGGGTCGTTTTCGAAACCTTTCAGCATTTGCTTGAAGTACGGCCCCTTCATACGCAAGGTCAGCCGGTAATAATCAGTGCCGTCGAAGCCCAACAAGTAGTTATGCAGTTGACAACACTCGAAACGGTTAATACTGCTCCTACTCCGATTATCAAAGATTCTCGGCAGCTGGGCGCGCGTATGCCACATAAACACCCGAGATGGGATCTGCATCGATCCTCCTTAGGCTCCTTTGGCACTACACATGTATTGCGGACTGATGGGTCACCTTGCTCCACGCTTGGGGAGGTCGACAATGCCTTGCGAGCCACAAGGGCCTTTTGGCAGCAATCGCCGCCGGATTATTCCCCGGAATGGGAACTTGTTCTCCATGATTATCAGCCACAGCCTGTTGCCCGGTGTACTCTCCCTCAGGAGGAGGACATCATGTATCATCTTCTGCGCACAGGAGACTCATCGGCAGGTCCCGATGGTTGCCCCTACGACCTACGAGTGCTATCGTCAGCTGCCTACTGAGTCTGCCCGTGCCCTTCATTCCCACTTTGTAGATATCATCCTAGGGAGCGCTCCACCCCCGATACAGGCCTTGACCTTTATCCCCAAAGCTGATGCGGGCCAATACGCAGATAACTTCCGGCCACTCGACATGCCTGACACTGCTGCTCGCATTATTGACTCCGTTGTCTTTGCGTCCGCCATGTCCGCCATCGCCCCTTGCCTTAATCAGTCACAAGCCCTCGTTAGCCAGCTCAAGGAAGCCCCGGCCAACTTTATGATGGTTCAGGATTGCTTGTTATCTGAGACGCAGCCTTGCAATGTACTGCTTACTGACATGGCGAAAGCCTTTGAAAGGGTCAACCCTGGGTGGCTTCTCGAGGTCCTGGAGCGTCTGCGTGTCCCACATTGGGTCCGGCAATACTCCATACACCTTCTCTATGGTCGACAGTCCCTGCATCGCATTCAAGGCCTCTTGTTGCCTCCGTTGCGTATGCGACAAGGCCTCGCCATGGGCCGAGCCACGTCTGTTCTTCTGTTTTGTGTAGCCATGGACCCTCTCATCTGTTCGCTGCATCGCATTCCAAGGGTGCGAATGCTCAAAGCTTATATGGATGACAACTCTACCGCTGGCTCAGATGTTGCATGGGTCGGGGACGCACAAACCAGGTTTTCCTCTCTGTATAGTGCGGGTTTTCACGTTCTCAAGCACCATTGTTTCTCTGCGGTGAGGGTTCCGATGACACTTGCTGAGCAGTTACGCCACGCGCGGGCAGAAGGCATCGTTTTTCCTGTTCCGACGGAGTTATCTTGTCTCTTCCATCAGAATGGGGACCCTCCGTTTGCGGCCGCTAGCTTTACCGAGGTCTGTCATCGAGTGCTTCGGTCGCACCCTCTAGATGTTCCGAGTGTACAGTGGTTTTGTTGTAAATCGGGCGAAACCTTGCTCCTGGCAACACAACACGCCCTTCAAGCCTACCTATCAGGCCATTTTGCCAACTGTGAGACCTTCAGCTCCTTTTTACGTGCGCCATGCCAATGTATAAGTGCAAATCTTCTTTGCTGTTTGGAAGGGCGCCCAGTTCGGAGCAAATTTCCCAACTAGATGCCACGCCCTGGGGTCCCAAGTTGTGCACGGAATCGGCACCGGTCCTGGGCTTCATGCTGTGGGGTGCGCCAACATACGTTGGTAGCACGGCTGGCCCATGCACCCTTCCTAAGGCACAGATTCTCCTCACGGGCCAAAAAGCGGCGTCCTCCATTGCCCGTAAACGGAAGCTTTTCCAGCCCCTCCGCCAGTCTTTGCCCGAGCGAGCCATTTGCTGTCGTGCGTACCTACAAAGCTGCCTTCAATATACGCAGCAAGTTATCCCGCCTGACGCGGGCGAACAGCAACGTACCCTCGTTGCTTGCGCTCGGTACGTCTTGGGGGGAGGGCGACACTGGCTTGAGGCCAAGCACGTTAATGGCGTGTTCCGCATTTTCAAGCTTCCCCAGCCAGGCACATGGCGCCTATCCTGTCCTCTTGGAAGGCTTGGATTTTTGCTGCGCTTGGCTCCTAAACTTGCGATCGCTGCAGTGGGGGGAATGCGCCCGGTCTTAGCGCGTGAGAAGCCCCTTCTTGCTGAGGTCTTGAATCAGGTTACCCGTAGCCTTGCTAACTCTACCTCAGCGCTGCCCATACGTGATGCCCTGCAGCAGTATGCACGAGCATTGGTTGGCACCAATTTTCGTGCCTGGAACGAGGGCTCTCAAAATGAGTCGTTGCTGCATGTCCGCAAGCTTTACAAGCGCTGTATCCTTGAGACCGAAGACTCTCAGGCAGCTCATTACCTGCTTGACAAAATTGCCAAGCAACCTTGGGCTGCAGCTGGCCTGCCATGGGTCTCGGGCGTGCTCTCATGCCCTGCCAGTCTCTCTAGCACGGTGTCACGAGCGTATGCCCTCCGGTGGATTGTTGCCGAAGAGGCCGACGCAGGATTTGTCTATCGGCAGCATTATACGCGCCCTGTCACCTGTGCACATTGTCACCACCCCTACCCTCCGACCAGCCTGCATCGGCTTGGGACAGGGCAGCCTCTGCCGGGGTTGCCTCTTAGCCCTGGGCTGGCCAGAGCAGAAAGCCTGGCTGGCGTGCAGGGTTGAGGCACTTGCGCCATTTCTTCTTGATGACGGGGACGAGTGGTGGGACATGCCTAGCTTTGACGTGTCACCGACCCCTAGGAAAATCGGTGCCATTCCGCCAGCGGCATCTCACTATCTTGAGCATCCGTGCTTATTGTGCGGCTGGGCGGACAACTCAGTGAGACACTGGCTCCACGAGTGTCCCGTCATCGCCCACTCCGCACATTTGCTGGGGCTCAATCGGCCCTTGGAACTTCGGGGAGGCTTGCCGAAATATGCCGCGTCTTCGTTAGAGCTTGTTGCCTCAGCTCGGCGATATCTCCGCGAGCTTGGCGCAATGTGGACCCCAGGCTGGACCCCTCCCTCTGGGACCTTTGAAACGGGCCCGCAGTTAGGATAGCAAGCGCTGCGTACTGGGGCGCACCAGCACGGTTTCGGTCTGTCTTCGGCCCGCCGTCGGACTGCTTACGTAATGGCCCACACACAGGTTGCCTCTTTTCCCACGGCCTCAGTATCTCAGCAGTTGATGCTTTCTCTCGCACGCGCCACCGGGCTACGGCCCAACAGCCCGCGGTCACCACTACTGTCGATCTGGTCGAGGGCTTATCG